AGAAATATTGAAAGATTCTGCTTTAGAAATATTGAAAGATTCTGCTTCAATCATCTTTGAAGGAGAGCATTCCAAAGTCTCATGATTCCATGAGGGGGATGGATAGGGTAAATAGGCAGAGGGTGGTGCATGCACGGAGTGAGCTTCCAGAGAAGGTAGTGGAGGCTGGTACAATTACAACATTAAAAAGGCATCTGGATGGGTATTTGAATAGGAAGGGTTTAGAAGGATATGGGCCAAATGCTGGCAAATGGGACTAGATTTATATAGGATATCTGGTTGGCGTGGATGAGTTGGACCAAAAGGTCTGTTTCGATGCTTATACCTCTGACTCCAAGAGAAAAATTCTCAGCTCTGTCTTAAATTGGTAATCTCTTATTTTTAAATTGTAAGTCTGTTGTTCTGGCCTCTTCCACACACTCTCCACGTTCACATGTTATGAGCACCCACACCCCCAGCTCTGTTGCAGCTTCCCTTTACCTCTGTGAGAAACTGGAGTATTCCAGCAGAATTTAGAGAAGTTTGAACAGTTTCAGAACCCAAAGGACCTCAAGTACCTGAAATTGTTTAAGTAGGTAGTTACTGTTGTGAGAAATATGGCAGCCAATTTATGCACAGCATATTCTGACAAATGGCAATATAATGACATGTTTGAGGAATGAAGAGTGACCGGGTCATTGCAGACCTCCCCTGCTCACCTTCTTTAAAAAATGCCAGGAATACTTTACAATACACATTAAAAGATCCTTGGTTAATATCTCAGTTGAAAGGTGACAACTCTAACAAAACTGCACTCGCATTGTGCTAAATTTTCTGCCCAAATCACTGGATTAAGATTGGTCCCAGTGACCCCTGAGTCACCTGAGAGTGTGACCCACTAACCCATATTTCAGGTGACACTTTTGTGTCGTTTATGATATACAAGGTAATCTACAGTTGGTGATCAGTAGTAAACACTGGTCATGAGGATTAATTTTTCAGGGTTACTAGGATGTTGCCTGGTTTGGAAGGTTTTGACTCTGAGGAGAGATTGAATGAACTTGGTTTATTTTCACTTTAACGTTGAAGTCTGAGGGACAGCCTGACAGAGGTTTACAAAATTGAGAGGTGTGGATAGATTGGATAGTTGGACCGTTTCTCCCCCAAGATAGAAATGCCAATTACAAGGGGATATAG